CAGGTATCCATTTAGCCAATCACAGGCTAGACCTTTGATTCCAGGTGGTCCTGTTTTATTACAAACATTTGTTTCCTTTTACTTGGCAGCCTCATCAGGAATCCAACAATGACCCTGGTGGGTAACACACACACACACACAACTTAAAGTAAGCATGCACCCACCAGTAAATGTTGTCCAGGTGTTCCAGCCATTAGTTTTGTAAATGCTGCCGCTACCGTCGGCCCAGTAGTACCACCCCCTAGTAATGTCGTATGTTGAAGCCACTGGATCCGACACTGGAGCCTCAATGGCTGTGAACTGTTTGGATTTTACGTTCAGAAGTCCTATACTGTTCCTCTGCACCATCAGCAGTTTGGTAGCATTACCTGATGGATTCAAAAAGAGCACAAGTTGTACAAAGTGTGTGAAATTTGGTAGGATACTTTAGCGCTTTTTCTGGGCTTCCAATTTATTCTTTTTTGCAAAAGTATTTAAATCCAGCATATTTTGTCAAATGTCTATTGTATGACGACAAAAAATAAAAACCAGAAAACACTTTACCTAAAGCTTGACATGTACGGTCTCCATTGAGCCTAAACCCCTCTCTGCAGTGGCAGTAGTAAGATCCAATGGTGTTTGTGCAGTAATGTGCACAATGAGGAACAGATGAAGCGCATTCATCCAAATCTAATAAAAAAGGGGTCGAGATTCAAATGCAAAAAGGTTGAAATTGGTTAGGATAGACCATAGACCACCAAAAGCATTATGGATAAACCAACCAGTGACACATTTTAATTCAACACATTCACAAAGGAAAGGTCATTCATGACATGCAGAGTACGACGACCCACTCACCTTCACAGACGGCACCATTAGGAGAGAGTGTGTGTCCAACGGGACAAATGCATCGAGCTCCCCAGGATTCATCTGCACATATATGGCTGCAGCCACCATTGTACGTGGAGCAGGTACGACCTAAAGCGGATGCAACGCAAACACTGGTTGCAAAGCAAAGACGGTCACGTTTTACAGAACTTGAGTTTGTGTAGTCAGGCTTACCGCAGGTTATGGGTTCGTCACTGCCATCAGAACAGTGAACCTGTCCATCACACCTATGCTCAGCTGACAGACACTTTCCCTCAGGACACCGAAGGCCATTCTCACTACATTTACCTGGAAAAAAAATAAAAACCCTGTTGGTACAACTCAACCAAGAAAGACTCCTGGAAACCTCAATCACTGCAAGTCAGAAAACACTTTAATACATGCTTAAAGAGTTTAATATTTCACTCTCCATCTACCCCAGAAAACCCTAATCTCTTCATCACAAAGACTCAAAACAAGCACTAACGGAAGATTTGATTGGTGATTACCAATTATGGTGCTTTTTGCATCCAAAGGTTTGGTACCCTTTGTGGAATTACAATATTTCTAATATTCATTTCCAATCTGAAAGTTCTCAAACATAGCCAATGAAAACCATTTGGCACATATTTTTTCCAGAGAGCAAGTTCTTACGAAAACTCATTTAAGTTAATCTTACAAAAATGTATAGATCCACACAAACCATTTCAGCCCCATGTCTCTCACCACAGTCTTCTTCATCAGAGTCGTCCACGCAGTCGTTTTGTCCATTGCAGTGCAGTTCTTTGGGGATACAGATGCGGTTTCCACACATCCACTCAGAATCCAGGCAGCCCTCTGTGGCCGGACAGTTCTCCTCATCAGAACCAGTGGGACACTGCTTCTGGCCATCACAGCGGGCTGACGCGTCTACGCAGCCAACAGAGTCCATGCATGGAAACTGGCCAGCTGGACAATCCGAGTCTGTGGCGGCTGATTGGAACGAGAAAAAGTCAAAGCACACGTCATGTAAAATGCAACGGTTCTTTGACAAATTCATCTTAAGAGTTTGACATACCATTACAATCCATTTCATCCGATCCATCCAGACAGTCTCCTTCTCCATCACATCTCCACGCAGCAGTAATACAGTTTCCATCATCACACTGCCACTGACCCTCAGGGCAAGCCAATAGTTGGGCTACAGACAAAGACAAGGTTAGAGTGCATATTAGAAAAGTTGTAATCATAGCCTCTCGGTACATATTATGTTAACACTTTAATGACAAAGCACAGTGCGATTTTATCTCATTTTGAAACACTGCTTGCGCAAAAAAAAAAAAAAGTGAACAGTTTTTCCCACTTGGGCGTTTTTCTAAAGAGCAGGTTACAAAGTCACAAAAAGTGACTTGTTCAGAGTTGATATCTGGGGGTGAAAATATATATATATACACATGTTGAACAGAAATGTTATGTTTGACCCAATCCTGGGGAAAACTTTTACAGTGGTGCAGCCAGGCAGCCTTTGACACCGTTCACAAATTGTTCACAAAACTGGGGAAGCATATTAAAAGTTGAGTGGAAGAAAAAAAGATTATATAAAAGGGGCAGAAGCAACAGGGATAGTGGAGCCCACAATGAAGATATGCTAAATGCTCATCTTAAAGCATCCAGTGCTTTAAGAGAAGCACTAGTTTTAATTTTTCTAATAGAAAGAAGTTTGAAAATATAAAAAGGTACTAAAAATTCCTTTTAGTATACAGATTTCTGCATTTAGACAGTTCAAATGAGGGGAAAAACACTCTTCAAATTAGTGTTACAATTCAAGTTTGAGAAAATAAATTTTAGATTTTCATTATGTACCAGTCATAGGAAAAAAAAAGAAAAGAAATGTTAAATAAGTCACTGTGTAATCTATTCATTAGCACTTATAATGTGGGCTAACCCGGAGACATCGCAGGCACATTGCCCATTTGACTCATTTCTCCTTTTGTTACTGATCATTTTAAACGGTGAATTAAACAAAAAACAATGCAGACATCAAGAACCTTGCAGATGCCAAGCGCATTTTTGAGTTGCTTGTGTCGGAATAAGAACGTTAAGCTAGAAAAAGATTACTTTTCGACTGAAATTGAACTTACCAGAGGAAAATCTTAGATTCGGCAGAAAAAATAAGCAAACGACCAAGCGCAGGTCCATGTCGACCCCGCGACTCATTCGAACAAACACCAACAGCTGAGAGGAGCCTTTTAACTAGTTTTTGCTGCTGCAGGTGTGTTCGTGATTACCGCAGAGAAGCTGACTTCCGGTCAAATTTACCTCGTAAAATGATTGAAAAGTCAAATTATGCAACTGAAACATGTGCCTGAAGCAAATACATATTTATAAGTATTAAATAAATAGAAAAATGTTTGAAAATATAAAGTTTTTATTTATTTATCTATAGGCCATCATTGTTAATCTCATAAGGAGCTATGGAGTATACGCTAATCTTGACATATTTTGTTTGTAGTGAGAGTCGGACGAGGCTGACAAATAAAAGCTGCGCACATACTGAGAGAAACAGTCATTGCTATATCAACAATAATGCCTAATGCTGATTTAATTATTTCTCAGAGGAAGGGAAACATTTTGGAAATATATCAGAGTGATTATCTTTTTTTCTGAAGGTTGCTAAAGAAACATTTGAATTGCTCCCCTTCTCCTTCAGGAATAACTTAAAATATTTTTTTGTTTGTTTGTTTTTTTATTTTATTTTGAACGTAATGTAGTAAATTTCTTCGACGAGAACAAACTAGTAGCCAATTAGGCTTCGGGTTCTTTGTGCTGTTGATTCATGAATACATTGGGAAAGATAATTATGATGTTTTCTACATTATCAGTCTAAATTAAGGAATGTATGAATATTTTTATAGAGATCACATCCTATAAGCACAGATTTAATAATCAACTTCATTGTTATTGTGAGTTTATGCATCACGCCACAGCTGAGTCTAGATCTCATTAGCATGCAGTTAAAAATGTATAGATTTTTCTTCTTTCTTATGTGAACATAATATTGTCCTCATAAAATAAATGCATTTTTGCATGTTATTCATTGGTTTCCAAATACTAGAAATGTTAGCCTGTGTCATTTTGACTCCAGTTTTTCTATTTTCTTAGGATTTATAATGCTTTTAAATTACATGTTTTGTGTTCAAATCTGCTTAGAGGGCCCAAATTGTATAACCTTGATTTTTTTAAAAACTGACTTCATTCATTTCAATCTGGCACATCTTTTGTCTTAAAACAAAACTCACATTTGTGAAAAGCAAAAGAAATGGTTTTGAATCAACATCACAGTTCTCTTTTTCTTTGATGTTTTCGTCCCTAAAGAGTTTCTTAAGCATGACGCTTCTTTAATACAAATACTACCTTTACTTTTTTTTCATGGCTGCAATGAAAAAAAATAAAAGCTTAGGAGTCCTACTCTTTCTTAGAAGTTAAGTGAGATGCTTGCCTTATAAGAGAGTGACAATTATCAGGCCTTAATATTGCTGTCAAAGTAAAGCGTTCATGTGATGCAGAGTTGGAGGACAAGATTTCCCTGTCAGGTGACTAAATAAAATAAATTTTGTTGTTTACAATGTATGATCTAATTTATGCCAAAAAAAGTATGTAAGTCAGAAGATAAGCAGAACTTATTAAACCAAAATATGAGGAATTTTAATTTAACCTCAGGTAACTGAAGCAAAAATATTAGAACAACAAATGTATAGAGAAAAAGCAGCCTTTTATTGACATTGTAAAATTTTCTTGTTGCAAAATCTTGAAACAAATTTTATATAATACTTACCAATCAAGGTTTTACTTTAAATAGTCTTGATTACTTAGAAAAAATAAAATATTTTTTTATTTATTATTTATGATGCTACAATGTAAATCAAGAGAATAAGAAATTAATAAAATAAAATTCATGAAAATTACAAAAACTGTTTAGACCAGGTTAAAATTTCCTGTGATCATGTATTGGCAACATGGACTAAAATGTTTATCACAGTATTCCTTGTATTTAGTGTAATAATAATAAAAGTAATAACAGAAAACATTTGGTATTTCTATGGAAATGGTCCAAACCTCACACATTTGAGAAAAATCAAACCACAAATGAAAATTTACAAACAATGGAAAAAGCCATTTCAGATGCATTCAGTAGTTCAGTTTTATCACTAAGCAGTTAAAAATAGACTGCATTCACATATTGACATTAATTTCTGCTTTAATGGAAACAATACATGGAAAGTCAGAGATGAAGAAGTCTCCAGATGATCAGATTATCTCCAGTTTCCTCTTTAAAACTCAGAGCTTCAATCTGATCAATACATTTTTATTTGGACTTTGTGTTCTTCATGCTGAGATCATCAGAGCTGCTGCTTGATCACTGAGATTGTCATCGGTACGATCTTTAATGTTTTATCAGTGGAGAAGAATGGAAACATCTTATCAGTGAAGGTGTGTGTGAAGGTGTGTATGTGTGTGTTAGTATCCAGATCAGAGAAGGACAGCTTTCCTCTGTCCCAGTCCAGTTTCACTCTGATCCTCTGAGGATTCTTTTGGACTGAGAGATGTGTGGGAGGAGCTGGTGGAGAATATGCTGAGTACTTACCTGAAGATAACCCAAAAACCAAAAATCCAGACCGTATGAATCCCTTCCTCTGAACAGACTCTTCTAACACACCAAGTTCCCAGTTTGAACTGTCTCCAACATCAACATCCCAGCTGTGGTTCCCCGAGTTAAAACCCTCAGAACTCAGAACAGAATGCCGCCATAAATCAAATCTCTCTGGATTATCAGGAAGCTGCTGATCCTCTCCTTTTCTCCCATTAGTCAGATTTTCGGACAGATGTAGGTTTGGACCAACCGTGTTTGGGTCCAGATCCAGAGGAGTGTAGGTCACCATGCTCTCCATGTTGCTCCAGATGTTGAAGGCCAGGTTGCCCAGATGTTTGGCCTGGTCTATCAGAGCTCCTGAGGGCAGCTGTGGATCCTCCAGCAGGGGGCAGTGCTGGACTCTTTCCACTGCAGCCTTGTAGTTGTGCAGGAATGAGACATCTGCAGCTCTCAGCTCCGCTTCTGTGGCTCTGACTGTGTCTGAAAGAGCTGCTATCTCTCTGCTCAGAGCCTCCATCTTCTCTTTCATCATCCCTCTCGTCTGCTCCTCTTCTTCCTTCAGTGCAGCCAGCCTGGCCTCCTCTTCCTCTGCTAGAAACTGATGAAGATGCTTAAACTGCTCCCTAATCTGCCTCTCTCTGTGTCGGGCCTGGACCTTCAGGTGTTCTGCTGTCTGATCAAACTCCTCCTGAACTTTCTTCCTGAGCTCCAGCTTCTTCTTTAAAGGTCCCAGAGTTTCCTGAAGGTTCTTCTTGTGTTGCTGAGCAGCTTCATCGATGGGTCTGAATCTGTGCTTGGTGTGTTTTTCCGAATCTCTGCAGACAACACACAATGGCTGCTGATGGTCCAGACAGAAGAGTTTGAGTTTCTCAGAGTGCAGACTGCAGAGACACAAGTGCCACTATTTTCGGGGCTAGCTGTCAGTGTTGCCAGGTTGCCGCTGACTTTGGCTGACCTCGGCATCTTCCAAGGACTGCTGCGACCTCATACTGGTACCTCCCACGCCTCATGGACCGCTCTCGCCTATTGTCGCTGACGAGATTTAGGGCGGCCATCTTAGAGCGGTCGACCGCTCCACTCAGCGTTATACGTTTAGCAGGCACAATGGCGTATTTGCGCATTTAATCTTTCATAACAAGCTGTTTTGTTACTACTACAGCCTCTGCTGAAGTGAGGAGCTACCTGTTGCTGTGGCTCTGCAGCACTGCTCTATAGTTAGAAACACATTGACAATAAAAATCAGTCCTCAGTTCGTTATTTCATTACTTTGGCTGAATCATGATAAACTGCCACCTTATGCCTTGGAAATCAAAACTAGCAAAACTGCTACACTCAATCATCTTCTAAGTGTATTTAAGCATTAATTTGAATTTGACATTTGTACCACAACTTTCAAAATAGTGTTGCTTAGAAAGTTTGAACCATCTCTCCAATCAAATTTTTAAGTCGCATACTCCCAACTCCGGCTTTCCAACAACATGACAAGACAGAAATTTAAAGAGCAGCACCTAAAGCAAATGAGGTGGAATAGCAGTGCTATTTGTAATTTCATGACTCAATAAAGAACATACTTTTTCTAGAGGTGTTATTAAAACAATTTTTATAGTGTTAACTAATTTTATTTCAAGAAGTAAGTTTACATAAATAATTAGTGGCCAGAGTATAGACTCTAAGTAAAATAATTTGCATTAAAAATTTTACTTATTCCTCAAATATGGCTTTCCCTATAAACTCTGAGAATTAAAATAACATGTTTATGATTTCTTGTTATGTTTTTGAGTCCCCCTGTCTCTCTCTGTTTGCAAGCTCTTTCTCAACAGACTCCAAACATGTCAAGGCCTTTAATACAGAAAGCGCTCCTCCTCCACCTGATTAACTCATCATCTCATTAATCACTGCAGTTCTACGGCCTGTAATCTCATTAACCAATATTTTTTTGTTAGAGCTTCTTATCAAGAAAAGCAGCCATCAGTGCCTTTTAGAGTTTTCACACCTGGTATACACTACAAAGAGCATTTTGGTTTCGGTTCATCACGATCTATCACATCAAGGTCTTTGGATCAGAGGCATCCGCGCGCCTTGACGCGTCTCTTCAAAGGACTACAAGATGAAAAGGCGGGATTATAAAACTGTGTTTTAGCATCCCGCGGGGACCAGTCTGCATCTGCTCGTGAAAGTGTCTTCATCATAAATGGGAACTATGACCGGTCTCGCTGTGGAGTTGGCGTTTTTTCTTATGGTGGATTTGGTTTTGAGTCCCTGTGGGCAGCCATTCCACGGGATGCTTCCCGACGCGCTGTTCCGAGGCATGACGGGTCACTCCGTCGGCTCCAGACGCGCCGGAACCAGGCTTCCGTTTTACATGATGCAGCTCTATCGGACGATGAGGACCGAGGATCGGACCAGACAGGACATCCCCGTCCTCCACGAATCCGACTCTGTGACCAGCCTAGTCGCTAAAAGTAAGTCGTACTCATATTCAACATTATAGTGGAACATCTGTCTTATTGTCTTAAGTTAATAGGTAGAAAAGATGTTGCATTCTATTCCTTTTTTAAAAAATTATTTGGCCAACCAGTTCCAAATAAGATGGAAAATACAGAGTCTTCTTTTGCATCTTTGTCTAAAATTCTCATTTCTTTTTCTCCAGGCTGCCATCAGATCGGTGAGAAATGGTCAGTTACCTTCAACTTGTCCTCAATGTCTCCAAGTGATGACATCCACCTGGCTGAGCTCCACATCCGCCAGCCTGCCTTTGCAGAGTCTTCCACTGCCTCTCTAGACATCTATCACTCCAGCTGGGAACGGTGTTCTGATACGGACTGCTCTGAGAGCAGGCCGCTTCTGGGACGCCTGAAAGCTCATCCAAGCTCAGTGATCTCACCCTCAGCATGGAGAGTATTCAACATGACCAAAATGATCCGTCGCTGGCTTTATCAGAGACCCCCAGTTCAGAGAATGAAGGAGGGTGTAGCTCAGGTGAAAGAGGATCATGAGCAGCAGAGAATCCAGCACCCAACGGCCAGTAGGGTGATGATAGTGGTCTTCTCTCGGCAGAGCCCAAGCAGTCAGCGACTGCCAATACTGATCCGCACAGCAGAACACTCCAAGTACATCAACCTGGACAGGGTGCCCACCGGCAGGATGAGGAGCCACAAAGCAAAGAGGCACGGACAGAAATGGCAGAGACAGAGAGACATTGCAAGGAAGGAGGAAAGTAAACTCTGCAGGAAGGTGGACATGTGGGTGGACTTTGATAAGTTCAACTGGAGCGAGTGGATCATCTATCCCAAACGGTACAATGCTTATCTCTGTGAAGGGACATGTCCTACACCTGTAGATGAGATCTTCGCTCCAACTAACCATGCATACATGCAGGTAAGGCTGAAATGCTGCAGTATACATATCTTATGATACCCATGCCTATTTGAGGAGATATGATCTAACAACCTTCTAATTTTCCTTACAGAGCCTGTTGAATCTTCACCAACCAGACAAAGTACCAAGTCTGTCTTGTGTGCCCACACGCCTGGCACCACTTTCAATGCTGTACTACGAGAACGGGAGGATGGTGATGAGGCATCATGAGAATATGATTGTGGAGGAGTGTGGCTGCCACTAAGGACAAACAAAAAGTGGATAAAAAAAAAGCAAGAGCCAGAGAAATTAAATCAGCAGGGAGGTAACAGCGGGACTTGAGATGGACTCTATTAACAGAAGCACTATTAGATTTTTACAAATACATCAAGTTGTGCCTTTTATGCACAAGTTGGACTCATTTTATGTTCAGTGACTTATTTTTTTAAAGCCAATGAAAAAATAAGAATGGTCAGGGCCAGTCCAAAGCACAAGCAAACTAAAGCAGCCGCTTAAGGCCCAAAGGCCACCAAGGGGCCCCCTCAGTGGAGCTGATTTTTTTTTTTTTGTTTAGTAATAATTTATGTCATTATAATATCAAAAACACACAATTTCACTATGAAGTGATTTGGGTAACACTTTATTTGAAGGGGGTTGAATAAGACTGACATGACACTGTCATAAACACATGTCATGAACATGAATAAGCCTTCATGAATATTTATGACTGTTGTCATAAAGCGTCATTCGGTAAATTATGACACTTTTAATACAAAGTTGACATTATTCAAAATGTCTTTGTTATGACAACTTGACATTAACCAAGAAATCATTACTGACATAAATTTGTTATATAAGTATTACTGATTGCACTTTAAAAATTAGGTAACTTTATGTTATTAAAGGTAAAGTTTAAACAGTAATGATTTCTTGGTTAATGTCAAGTTGTCATAACAAAGACATTTCGAATAATGTCAACTTTGTATTAAAGGTGTCATGATTTACCGAATGACGCTTTATGACAACAGTCATAAATATTCATGAAGGCTTATTGATGTTTATGACAGGTGTTATGTCATGTTTATGAAAGGGACATGACAGTCTTATTCAACCCCCTTCAAATAAAGTGTTACCGTGATTTGTTTTTACAATAATATATATTTGATAATGCATGTAGAAATTATTATTTTATTGATAAAAAGAAAAAAAAAATGCTCTTGGGACCCCCTGGTGGTCGCGGTAGGTACCGCACGCTTCGCCGGTATCAGTAGAGTGCATCCAAACGTCCAAAGCTCCGTTCAAAAGTTAAGTAAGCAAAACAATATCTCAAAAAATGACTTATCGTCCGGGAGGGAGAAAAGAAAGAGGAAGAATAGAAACAAGCCAAGGTGAAGGTTTGTTTTAATGTGCCTTGGTAATGTAATGTAGTTGTAAAGCTGCTAATAGAAAATGAGCTTGAACGGTCCAGTTCAACAGCCAAGCATTTATGCTAGGGTCTTTGTGTTTGTGTGAAACTGAATTTTAAGCTTAAATGAGTTGATTCTCCTGATTGGCTCTGTATATTTCTGAGTTTTTTTCGGCTTCAATACGCCGTGTTTGGTAACAATAATTAAAACTTGTCAATGTTTGACATTGTCTAGCAAAATGTTTTTACGTCAGGCTACATAGCTGCTACATCGATGAGCTGCTCTATGGTGGAGTTGGGGATATGTTGTTTGCTGCTGAGCATAATCATTTTGTGGCTAAAACAAACATCATTTTTACATCAACTTCTAAGTTATGTGAAACTTCTGTTAAAATCATTTGAAGGCACAGAATCAGTCTCACCTGGTATAAATTAACTTTTTAGCTACTGGAGTAACGCTTAAGAGAAATGTATTTAATCAAAGAATGTCATGAATATGTGTGTATTTATGCCATCTTAAGTTTGGCTACACCGATTGCAGTTTTCTGGCCAATCTTTAAAATCTTTAAAAAGCCTGACCTGCTGATATGAATTTCTTTTCTCTGAAATGTTGCTAAATACAGCAAGAAAGTCACTGAGTTGCAACAGTGCGGTGAATATTAACTGCAAACATGCAGACTTGACCTGGTCTGTCAGTCAAACCTCTCACTGCAGAGCAGAAGGGGACAGAGGCTGATTTATAAACCTTTGCTGACAAAGATTAGGGTGTAAGATCAGCTTCACATGTAAGTATCCGCAGATCACGATCCCCCAAAATTAAGGAAATCGGCGCCCAGAAATCAACTGGTCGATATATCAGTTGGCCAATAAATGTATCCTATATTATACATAATGTAAACAGCACTGCCAGAGATGCAATAAATTTATCGCAGGTGTGAATGATCTAATGATCGGTCTGCTGATTGCAGCCAGTCCACATTGTTAGCAGAACTAGAGGGCCCCAATACCAAATTTTGCTTAGGGCCCCATGGAGGGTTGGTCCGGCCCTGATACCGACCCATCTGTATGTTTGCTGTGTTTGATAATATAATAATTTAGGATAATTTTGAATGAGAACTGTTATGTGTTTTATTACAAAAAATGGTTTTAGAACAGTTTGTATAGAACTGACCCTGATTTATCAGCTTTTTCCACCCAAAAATTGTGGATTATGATTAATTTTTCACATTGGTCAGTGTCAGTGGTGAGATGTTTCTTATTTCTCAGCCAGCCCTTGAGGATATACTAATATGTTTTGGATTCATAATATATTGCAGTGTCCAGTTTTGCTTCAACAAATTTTTTTAATGGTTGCACATTTTCTTCAAGCACTTTCTGATACATAGTAAGAAAAAAACAACATCGCAGAAAAGAAACAATAGTTTAGTTTTGGTTAAAGAATGCATTAACAGTGACTTTTAATGATGTTCACAGTGGAAAAAAAAAGTTCAAAGCTCCAACATAGTGGTTTGTAAAAACTATAAGCTTATTATGTAACATTTTGCAGCCAAAACATGTTTAATTTTACCTTCTTGGTTGAGGTTTCATTTTCCATAAAAAAATGCATGTAATGATTCTAAAATAATCTTGGAAATTAAGGAACAAACAACTGATGAGTGACAATAAAATACAGTCATATATTAATAAGACCTCTGCTGATAAGTAACGCAAATAAATTTACTTGAAATTGAAAGTATAGAACTTGTGTCTGCTGCCCTCATGCGGCCATAAAAGTAATCACAGACTGCAAAACTAGGTTCCCAACTACACTACAGCTCCAAGTCTACACTAGACTTCATATATTATTTTCAAAGTAAATATAAGTCACATCAAAAAAAAAAAACCTTTTTAAGGAATTACATGTCATACATGTATTTAACAAAGTGAAAAAAACTGTTTTAGTTAGTTAATGTTTGAGGTTCAACATTTCAGCAAATAGTTGACATTAGAAAAGACATGGTTGTTTCCTGTCGGATTATAAAGCTGACTTAGACTGGATTTGTCATTTCAACCATTTCATAACCACATAAATGTTAGCATTACTTCATTGCTGCTAACATTTAGATGTCCATTTCAAACTGGGCGTCTTCCGCTGTAAGAGAGAGAGAGAGAGAGAGAGAGAAAAAAATACATTTAGCAAAGAGAAACAGGAAAGTACAAAGTCAGCTGGCAAATAAAAAACGCTACCAGAGTTTTCCTCTGTGTTCAGGCTGTGGTCATCTGAGTTGTTGCTGGGTAATTCTTCAGGATGGATTTCATTACTGGACGACTCTGGGTCAAGCGGCCTTGTGACTCCGGGAATATCGGGAAGTTTGGGAGGCGTACGGGTCAGAGGAGAGGTCCGACACTGCAGCAGGAACTTCCTGTCGTAAATGATTCTGGTGCCTGCAGGTGGCAGCGATAACACAGCAGGCAAAAGTTATGTATATGAACATTTATTGTCGAGATGTATTTCAAACAGGACTATAAAAATCAAAGGAACCAGCAGCTGATTATGGAAGTATTTTAAAGTGTGCTATTGTAGGTTTTCTTTTCCACCAAGAAAAACTTTATAAATAGTACAACCATCTAAAAATCCATAGTAAATTTGATAAATTCAAAATAACTTATGGTGCAACTTCACCTATTATCACATCTTTAAAGCTGTCTAAAATAAATGTGTCTTTTTTTTTTGTCCAAAATGTAGCTACAAAGTTTTAGTTGCTCCCAGAATAATCCAGTTTGGCTCACAACTGTAGTAAAAAACCCCCAAAAAACAAAAACAAATGTAGCATACCAGAACAAGTTGTTGCAGATGGACACATTTTCATAAAACAATTGATGGCAAAAAAAATAAACAAAACAAAAGACGTTTGGCTTTTTCTAACATGGTTTGCTATCTTCTTTAATTCATAGCATGCAGAACAACAAACGTGCTGTTACTTTATGTCAAAAGCAGACTTGGGCGCACTCTCTCACCCATGCATATGAGAGTCAGACAAACAGATTCCTATTTCATCAGTGTGACTGCAATGATGCCAGACGCAGCCTTGATTTCATAAAGTCAAACACAGAATTAGGATACCACCATGAGATCGCCTTTTTGTAGAGCAAAGATAAGTAAGTAAGACCTTTTTTTTCAATGTTTCAGACTAAAAGTGATTTATGGATCCCTTTTTCCAAAACAATCTGACCAGTTTGTAAAATGCTGTGTTTATTTAGCATCAATATTTGTGGCATATGAGAACTTTTAATTTGGAGAAGTAGTCTTTCTTAACGCACCTTGGATAGTTGGTGAAACTTTTAGATCTCAAATCTTAATTTGACAGTTTTGACATCAAGATTTAGACAGAACAAGAGTTAAAACGGGTATTTATTCATTTATTTACCTGTTTAATACCCAACCACAGATGTGGTAAAGTCCATTTGATTTCTAACAATCTAACAGGCATTTCATATATTTCAGTTTTATTTTCCAACAAATGTGGTGAGAATGATGGAAGTAAAATAAATAAATAAATAAAAAGGTTCAAAGTGCACCAAATTTTTTCCAGTGATTATTCTACTACAATCAAAGGAACTAATTTATTTCAGCATTTTTAGAAAATCTTTGATAGGGGTGCAAGTGCCGTAGTTGTTCAGGGCTGCATGTAGAGGAATACAAATGAGTTAAATAAATCTTGTAATCTAGAAAAGATAAAAAAAATAAATAAATGTTGAAATGCATGAAAAATGCTGTTAGTCAGTGACGAGTTACTATTTTCTGTTCTATATGACCAAGAATCTAGACTTCAGTCCCAAACGTTAATGACATTGTGTATTATCTGTTGAACCGGTCTGAGCTGGTAATGTTACAGAACATGTTATCAGTGAAAAACGAGCATGTGCATCTGAGCCAAATTTTCACAGCGGGTAGGACGGGATAACACTTTTCTTTAACAAAGGCCCCATGCTGGAAATGTCCCCAGGAGGGTCCAGGATGTCTTTATTTGAGAGATTACTGATGACTGGTTAGGACTTTGTGCAACAGCATTAATCCTAAAAGAAAAATATAAATATACAAACTCTTTTTATTTAAGTTTTCATTGCCAACATCAGCAAACATAGACTTTAACTGTAAGATGAATAACACAATGCAACTAAGAGTAAAACACTATTTTTGTTTTACAGCAGTAGATTTAAAGGCTTTCTGTTTAAGACAGCATTGACTGTGAACACATGTTGCATCTCTAATGTTTAACCTTCTGCAATTATTTCAGAAAAATACATTACCCATTTTATTTTAAGGTGGAATAATGGTTGAGCTTTTCAGTCATTTCAGTTTTCGCAGTTCTTACAAAATTGTGTCAACATACAAAACGCAACAGCTGAGAATAAAATAGTTCTACTGTGAAAAACTCAAAATCTATAGCAAAAATACCGTCCATTTTATCACTGAAGAACAGTTCTGAATACAGTAATAAAAAACAAAAGCAATTTTAGTTTTTATAAGAGACAACTGAATTAATTTCCATAATGTTTTAGTATTACACCATTGAGTCCTCCTCTTGTAAACATGTTTCTGCAGCAGCTGAAAGAGCCGCACTATAAATAGTTTATGACTGACAGCATGTTTTCCGTATCTGGTTAATGTCACTGAATCTGAAGTTTATAACCTAATAATACAAAAAAAAAAAAAAACAAAAAAAAAAAAAACACACACACAAAACAAATCCTAAACTTTCCACCATCTGTCAGAGTCCAACGCATATGTTTACCTCCTGGCGTGGTGCTGAACAGAGTTCCTCCCGGGGTCGTGGAGTACTCCTTGGGCATGTGGGCTGCATCGTGGATGGCGATCCTCCGGACAGCCGGGATCTCCAGGCTCCTTGAGGTCTGTCCCGCTGCTGACATCTCACAAACGGAGCAGCGTCGATGCCGCGCACGGTAAAATAATAATAATAACAACGTAAAAGCCTCTGATTTCAATGAGTAAGAGCCGCCACTCCACGTGGTTGAGAGGAAAAACTCTAAACAAGTGACAGCATTCCTACAAAACATCACGTGAGCGCAGCGCTCTGATTGGCTGAAAACAGGGGGCGTCAGAAGACGATGGTTTTGGGATATGTAGTTTCCCCTTTGCTAGCTGTCAAACCAGCTAAGCATTGGTGTGTTGAAAAAAAAACAAAAAAAAAAAAACAATTTACATGAATATTTGTATTAAACACCTAATTTTACTTTTTTAGAGAATCACAGTGATTTGAATTAAGGGTAAGGAAGTATTTGAGTTAATACTTTATAAAGCCATTATGTATAATTAGATGTAATTTACTGTAATTACATCTGTATATTCCCATTGTTATGTCTTGCACATTCAGAAAAAAAAATTCTGTCCATACTTGTTTCCAAAATAGGGCACATTGGATACAAAAGATCTGGGAATATCAATTTGCAAGTCTTGAAAATCATCATTTAAACATTTGTTTTAGATTTAAATTCACAACTGAATTAACAGGAGTCCCCAGAACTTTTGTCAATTAAAAATACTAAAAACACACGATCATTAAGCATTTAACTACAAAAGAAACTCTCACAAAGTTATGTCCCATCTTTTCTGTTTATTAAGTCTTGTAAATGGTAAGAGCTGGTGTACAGGGTAACATGATCTATACATATCTTCATGTTTGATCGAAAGGCTTGTATACATATTCACGTTTGTTTATCCTCTCCAGGACAATACAAAAGAAAAGAAAACAAATGGTCATAGCTACAAAGCCTCTACATTCCCCATGATGTGGGTGTCGGCCTAAACTAGATAACGCTTAAAGAACATCCATAACAACTCTATGAGGGTGCATAGCATTCTAATTAAATATATTTTGTCATATTTATACATACATTTTCATAAAAACCATCTTTTTTTTGTGCATGTGTGCGGTTGCATTCCTTAGGATAGAGTTATATGATATTGCGTTTACACTGTCATGTATCCAGTCTAAAGGAGTATAGGTGATCTCTATTCTTTGCAACAGTTAATATTTTACAATACTCATTTTAAAATACATTGTCGTAGGTTCCACACCCTCTTCACTCACATGCTTGGTAGAAATGTCTTCTTTCTTTCTTCTGATCCGACAAGGTTTGGAACCAAGTGTTGTCATGCACACACACTTTCACACCAAACACACAAACATGGTGGAAGGGACGCTTACCATAGTACAAGAGAGTTCTTCTGGGAGATGAAACAAATTTAAAGAACAAGAAAATTGTTTAACATATTTTCTTATGAGTGAGCAGGATAAGAAATTTGAGGAGTGGTGGTTCTTAATATGGGCGCCACAAGCTCTCTGCGAGTTTTAAATCAATTGTCTGCATGTTTGTTGGCTGCAGATTGAAACCCATCCCAGAGCTGCCACTGAATGTGAAGCAAAACTCTGGTATGCAATACAAAATTAATGTGATATCAAATGCATACGTCTTTGAGATTTTAGTTTTGCTTAATTTAGTGAAACCTTTTACAGGTGATCAACAACAATGGTATCCTTTTACCACTTAGGGGCTGGCATGGGTGATGACGGATAGCCTCAAGCCGAGGACTGTTTTTATTTAAGCATTTCAAAAATAAGCCAGGCTCATTCCTTTTTTAAAATAAAGTTGATGTTGGAGATTCTATTGAGAGCCCACCACTTGGTCTTTCATCACCCATAGAAGGGTCATGACCTCCAGTTTTGGAACCACTGACCTAAATAACTGTACAGCTGTCAACCTTCTAAAACGTATAGCTGACAGTTTCAACTCTCCCTAAAAAAATAAGTGTTACAAATTATTTTACACACTTAATCTGTGAAAGTGATCTACAAATTTTGGCTTCGTGCCTCAGGTCATGTATTATTAGGTCAAATGGTTTCCTTTTAAAGCTACCATTATCAATAAAAGCACTAAATGGTGGGGGTACAGAGTGAATATTTGTGGTAGTGCTACTTTAACACAGGTACAACACAAAATACACTTTATATTGGAGTGCAGGCTAACATAGTGATGACTGATATTGTACTCTGAAAATTTGTGAATAAAATATAGCTGAATGACAGTGAGAATCTGGGCCCCGTTTCATCCAGATAAAGCTGATTTGGTGAGATTGTACAATGTTTCCAAGGAGCATTCTCCACATTCATTGGGTAAAGATACATAAAAGTCTTTCAAACAAATTAATCTTTTATTGCAGTAGCATAATCTAATAGAGAGTTAGAGATGATGCAATGCACTATTACAAGGCTTCCAGTGCTGTTAAAAGAGAAACAGTGGTCAGTATGACTGCAAGAGCAGTACATTTACATTTATCAGTTACATTAGAGCCTAGCAAACTCTACATGTTTATGTTTGTGACGGATGGACTGAGAAGATTTTCTTCCGCCATGCCTCACATTAGCATGTGGCTAACGTAGAGTGGTTGCTATGGAAACACAGTAACCCCAAAATGCTACTCATTGAAGCTGTTCTTAGCTTAAAATTTATTTTATTTCTATATCAATTGACAGAGGTTCCAGTAATTGTGACACAGGTTTTTGCCTCCCTCAAGGTTACAATCTCTACAATCTTCAGTGTAAGATTATGCTACTGCCAGTAATTTTAGAAAGTGCTGGATTTCAATTCAAACATAAAAAAACACAAAAAAAACAAAAACAAAAAAAAGATATGAATAAATAAATGCAGTCATCTCTGTGCTTCTGGTTAGCTTTTGTTCATCAGGTGTTAAAATGAAGTAGGATAAACAAAACCCATTTAGCAGGGCTGCAACAGGAGGACTCATTCAGACGCATTAAAAACTACTTTTTGGTCTCATCTGAATCAATAGAATCCGACACACATCTATACACAAACCTGTTTCATGCTGTCCCATAAAATAATAATAATAAAAAAATTACACAGATTTCCCTCTTCAAAAGGACTATAAAACTCACAACCCTCGTTTCCGGTACGCCTGCCTAGACTCAAACTCATTTCCCATCGAGCGATCCGTATTTCAACACCATTTTCATTTCACATAGCAGAACAAAAAAACAAACAAAAAAAAACAAAAACCTGAGAGTAAAATGTAATAAGTTATAAAATGTGCTATCATCTGATGAAGGTTGCTTGCATGGAGAGCATATGAAAAATATGTGCATTCATTTTGTGCTGCACTCATTCAGGCTACAGTAGCATTTACAGTACTTGTGGGATAAAATAGTGTTGAGACGCTCCAGAAACGTGTGCTATTGTGATACAAAGTCTACATAGTGCTGCTGTCCGGTTTCTGCATAAAGTGTTGAAAGATACATGACTTTCAGTAATGTGAGCTTGATTTTTTTTTTTTTTTTTTTTTTTTTTTTTTTTGTTAAAAAAAAAAAATCCTTTAAAAACTAAGGA